CCCAGCGCGGGGAACTCGGTGACCTCCCAGGTCTTTTCCAGCCTAAACAGTTCCATGATTCCCCGAATGCCAACCCCCTGGGAGAGCCCTAATGGGGCTCATGTGATGCGGGGGCCGCAGGTTTGCTCTTCCCAGAGCACTTAGCCCGCCTCGTTTCCCCGGTGCTTCGCCAGAGGCTCTAAAGACAAATACCCTTAATTATCCCCTCGACGAGTAAGTGCCGCTTCTTCGGTTTAAAATGTTTTGCTTTCTCGTTGGGTGTCCTTGGCGCGAGTGTCCGTGCCAGGGCCGCGCATCAATCAGGGCTGAGCAAACTGCAGCAGCCAGCGCCAATTAGGCACATCCCGGGCGGCAGCTGCTCCCTCCCCGCGGCCGCGGCTGTCTCTGGTGCGGCGGCAGCTTCATCCTCCCTGATTGTTTGTGTACACAAATTAAGCGGGAGCGTCTCGCGGCGGTTTGATGGGATGTGCTACATGATGTGGAACAGAGCGGGAGGGATCACACGGAGCTCTTCTCCCGGGGGGTGACACGGGTGAGCGTGGGGACAGGGCTCTTGTCTGCGCTGGAGGCGAGTCTGGAGTGAAACGGGTCCAGCTGGGGGAAGGGGGAGGCAGAGGGAAGGGAAAGAAGTTGGAATGAGATGATGTTCCAGATCTTTCTGGTGTTTTGAGAATGGAAAAGGCAGCCCTTGGTTCTGCAAGTTCACTGTGATGTTTTTTTTGTGGAAAAACAGCATCAGAGACCTCGGCACCAGCCGGGGCAGCTCTGGAGAGCCCCGTGTGTCCTGGCACAGCCCTCATGGCTTCGGAGGGGCTGGAATATCCAGAGCAGCCCAGTGCAGGGAGAGCAACTGGCCCACAGTGACCCCACAGGGACAGGGCCCTGTGTCCTTGTCCCACTCTCATGCCCTGCAGAACATCTCCCTTCCCCGGTACCAGGGGAAGCCCCCCTGTGGAAAACCAACTTCACCCTAAACCACAGCTGAGAGGGCCAGGTGAGGAAACCCCTTCAGCCCCAGAAATGGGATCAGAAGAGCAACCACTGCTGCTGCCTGGGATGCCACACTGGGGTCAGCCATGTCGTGCCTGGGGACTGAGGGACTGAGGCTTTTCCTTGGATCCTGTGCCTCGGATGTTGCATCAGCCAATGGAGACAACAGCCCTCAGCCCCCAGCAGCCCTGACTGCCCTGGGCCACCATCATGGGCACCCTCCCCTCTACACTCTGGGTCTCCTGTGTGCTGGAGGCTTTGAGCAGCTGCTCGGGAGGCCAGAGGACTTTCATCTGCTGCTCCCCTGACCCACAGGGGCTGTAGGTACCCGGGGATACAGTCAGCTCCTCTGGACAACCAAGTGCTTCAGGGCAGAGCTGAGCTGGGGGAAACCTAGATGGGTGTTCAAATGAATCCTGCTTTTCCCCTGAAGCCCCAGCACGAAGCACCTGCCTCAGCTGCCCTCTCCTCCTGGCAGGGGAAGCAGAAGGAAGGGCAAATGTTGCTCATCTCATTAGGTGTGTGCCTGGGTGATGTTTGCAGGGACAGCTGTAGCCAACCTGTGTGTGCAGGCTCCGTCTGTCACATCCCTGGACTGGGCTGCAGCTGCGCCGTGTTCTGTACCTGTGACTGCTGTCTGGGGAGGAAAAGCCATTTCACCTGTTGCTGTTTGTTGGAAGAAAATGAGCTGCAGGTGTTTAGCCCTTCAGCACCCCACGTTGTACAGAGACACACCCGCAGGTACCAGCTGGCTCCAGCCCTCAGCGAGGCTTTACCACCCCTGTGCGAAGCAGACACCCCGGGACCACCTTCACCTGCATTTTTCTGCTTCAGCAGAGGCTGAACACAACTTGCACACACCCCCCCTCAGGCCATGAGACATCAGACCTGCCTATTTTTAACCCCACTTGGCACATTTGCCTTGGGGTGACCTCTTGCCCTGCTCTGGGTGAGGGAAGCGCTGCTGGAGCCCCAGCACAGTGATGGGCACGGGTGGAGACTGGGACAGGGCTCCAGCAAGGCTGTGCCTGGCACAGATCACTCCTCTGGGACAGGCACCAGGCATTGCTTTGGGTGCATTTCGATGTTGCAGCTGTTCCACAGCCTTCCTGCAGCACAGCACCGCTGCTTCTCGGGCTGGGCTGAGGCTCCCGCCTGCCCTGCCCTGCCTCCTGCACAGAGCCGTGGGGAGAAGGCATCCAAAGGCTCTTGTCCTGCCAGAGCCCCTGCATGGCAAACGCTTGCCAACCCCAGCTCCATTCCGTGTCCCTGCACAGCCAGAGCTGGCTGATCCCAAAGTCCCGGCGAGGTGATTGTCTGCAACCCCGGCACAGCTGCCCCTGCCACAGCATTTCATGGGAGTGATGCAAAACAGCCCCAAACCTGCAGTGCCCAGAAAGGGGCTCTGCAGGTGGGGGCTGAAGGGCTGTGGAGCGCTGCCCTGCACCCGCACTGCATCCCTATCCTGCATCCCTGTCCTGCATCCCCACGGCATCCCGAGCCCCTGCCCAGCTTGGCCGGGGGGAGCGGGGCTGGGGGCGGCCCTGGGAGGGGACCCCGCCGCTTGCAGGGCCGGGAGCCGGCGGGAGGGGGCTGTACAAGGCTGGCGGGCATTGGGCGAGGGGCAAGTGCTGCTGGAGAGCTCCTCCAATGGCTCCGCTCTTTGCTGGAGCCCAGAACTGCGGGGGCAGGAGTTGGGCCCGTGGAGAGGGTCCGGCATGTGCGTCGGGAGCTCCTGCACCTCCCTCTGCACCTCCATCTGCAGCTCCAGCATCTTCTGCACCTCCAGCACCTTGGTTTCTGCATCCGTTGCAGCTGCAGCATCTCGGTCAGGTCTTGGGCATGGACTGGCTGGGAGTGGGGGGTCCTGGAGCCCCCTGGGGTTACTGCTTTGCCCAGGGAAGGCAGCAGTGGGACACAGGGGAGCCTCTCCCTATGGAAGCTCTGCCAGCCTGAGCCTGGGGAGGCTGCTGGGCCCCCTCAGATGTCAGGAGCTGTTTCCAGTCCATACCATGGATCTGCAGAGGAGGGGGCTGGCAGCCAGCCTTGCTCGGCCCAGCATCCTCGTTTTACACTGCAAAGAGAGGTTTTCTTCTGCTTTTAGCATAATACTGTAAAACCAAGGGCCTGATCCTCCTGATTCTGCATAACCCAATCCAAACACAAACCCTCTCTGGAAGGTGTGGGACTCCTGCAGGGCCAGCTGGTTAGTGAGAGAGTTAGTCCAAGGCATCCCTGGCCAGGGCTGAGTGTGGTCAGGGCTGGCAGGACAACCCTGTCCCTGTCCAGCCGTGCCAGGTGTCCTGGCTGGTGGGTACCACCACGGTGCAGCATCCCTGTGGCTGCATCCTTCACACCCATCCCTGCTGTGGGCACCACAGTGAACTGTCTTTATATTCCATTCCCTGCAGGCAGGAGCCCTGTTTTCCCCAGGAAGGGGCTCTATCCTGAGCAGCTCTGTGTGTCCCCAGGGTGCTGGACCAGGGATGGCCACACAGCCTCACAAAGCAGCGGTGGCAGCACAAAGTATGTGGCAGAGAGACAGAGAGAGGTGAGGGCAACCTGAACCCCCAGCAGCCACCTGCCTGTCCCCTCTGCTGCCTGTCCCACACCACTGCCTGCCCCCCAGCCTCATCCCACATCAGACTCCAGACTGCAGGAGAAGGATTTTGGCTGCCTGGAGGTCACTGTCATTGCAGCAGTGTCCGGGGGGATGTGGTACCAGGGTGCCCCAGCAAATGATGCCTGTGGAAAGGCTGGGCTTTCCCTGCTGGCACCTTCTCTGGGAGCATTGGGTGCCTCCCAACTGAGCAGGGAAACACTGTTCTGTAGGGCTGGGCTTCTGAGAGCTGAGGACCCCAAAGTGCCCATCTCCCTTGGGTCTGGACTAGGGGGGTTGACTTTTTAATTCACTGAGTTTTAATATCTCTATGAAAACTGGTGTGTGTGTGGCTGCTGGGCAGGTTAAGTGCTCATTACAGCAAGGATGGACTGTGTGAGGGGAGAGTAAATCAGTGCAGCACACACTCAAGCACAGCAAACAGGGCCCTTCTGTGCCTTCCCCCGCACCATTTATTATCTCCTTTTAATGTGTTTGTGGTTTTATTCCAGTGGATCAGCTGTCTTTTAATGGCTGGTTGTTGTTTTCTGTACTTGGAGGTGAGAAGGTGTTCTATTGTTAGTTTCTCCTGCTTGGTGAAAAATTGAAGTGTGGTTCAATTAGCAGCAAAATCATAACACTGAATGTCCTGACACTGCCAGAGGAGGCTGGAGAGCTGGGGAGGCTCCTCCAGTGCCAGGACACTCCAGACAGGGATGGAGCATGGAGAAGGGAAAGCAAACTGCAGAGTGATAAGGGCATAAAACACTGATATTGGGCACTGCAGCACTTGAAAGACAGGAGAAAGAAACTGAGACATTTTCCAGCTCCACTTCGCAACAACGTGTTTATTGGGAATGCTTAAAAAACAAACAAACGAAAAGAGAATAGAGAAAACCAAACTGATGCACAGACTGCCCTATCTCATGCTCTACGCCAGGTACAAACTCAGAACTACTTCGGACACTGGGTCTGTCGTGGTTGCCGTGGCCGTGCCGGGAGGTGCGATGCTTGGGCTGAGGTGACCCAGGGCCTGAGGGCTCCCCGGGAGAGCGGCACCAGTGGGGGTGATGCAGCTGCAGGTGCCCAGATCTGCCTTCCAATCCCATGGCCAGAGCCCCACTGTTTGTGCCTGTCTGCTCCCACACAGCACTCTGGCTGCTGATGGCTGTTTCCCAGGTAAGCCTCCTGCCTTTTTTGGGAATTCACCCTCTCCCCACACTGTCCTGGCAACCAGCATCCCTTCCAGCTCCCTCCTCCTTGTCACCTCCAACCCTCTCCGCTCCCGGTGGGCTGGGTGGGGAAGAGGGAGGAAGGGATGGGAGGCAGCAGGGTTAGTTTTGGCCGAGGCAGCGCCTCTCCCCACCCAGCCCACCTGAGTTTCCAGCCAGTGCCGCTGCTGCTGGTGCCTTCCTCCCGGCCCCAGGGCGGCCGGCTCAGCACATGGAGCAGCTGTTGGTCTTGTTCATGGGCGGCCTGAGCGCCTGCTCCTTGGGCAGGGTCTCCCTCCTCTTGCAGAGCGCAGGGCTGAGCCGGCTGGGCAGGTTGGCTTGCTGCAGCAGCTCCCTGAACACCTCCAGGACGTTCTCGTTGTCCTTGGCCGACGTCTCCACGAAGCGGCTGTTCCAGTCCAGCTCCACCAGCGACAGGGCGTCCTCCACCGGCACCTGCCGCTCGCCGCCGCTCTCCGCCTTGTTGCCGACCACCACGATGGGGGGGAACTTGTCCTCCTTCACCTCCAGGATCTCTTCCCGCAGGCTCTTCACGCTCTCGAAGGACTCGGCGTCATCCACGGCGTAGACCAGGGCGAAGGCGTCGCTGTTCTGGATCGAGAGCTTCCTCATGGCCGGGAAGGAGTAGCTGCCGCTGGTGTCCAGGATTTCCACCTTGACCGTGGCCCCGCACACCTCGTACTCCTTGCTGTGCAGCTCCTCCACCGTGCGCCGGTGCTTGGGCTCGAAGGTGTCCATCAGGAAGCGGCGGATGAGGGATGTCTTGCCCACGCCGGCAGCTCCCAAGAAGACCAACCGGACGTGGTTCTTCTCCTTCACCCCCAGGGACATGGCTGGCGCAGAGGGGACAGGATGCTCCGCAGCTGGTGCTCACCCCACAGGTGCCCCTGAGTGGCTGCAACCCCGGTGTCCCTCCGTCTGTCCCTCCGTCTGTCCGTCCTCCCCTGCAGCGACTCAGTGCAGCCAGAGGATCTCGGTGTCACCGCTCCGCAAACTTCTCCCCGGCTGTTTCGCCGCGCACTCTACAATCCACAAGTCCGGCTCATTTTTTTTTATCCTGGTTCCTCTGCCATGTGGCACCAAGCTGTCCAATCTCCAGTGGGTTGTGGGTGCTGGAGGAGGGAGGGCAGGGAGGGAGGAGAGTGGGGTGCTCCGGGCCAATCCGCGGAGTTCAGCCCTGGAAAGCCACTCCAGCCCTGGAGCTCAGCGCGCTGCACTGCACCGCCGCCGCTGCCGGGAGCACCGGGAGCCGCAGCACCGCAGCCGGCCAGCACTGCTGTCCTGCCTGGAGATTAACGGGTGCTCCTTGGCATTCCTGGGCTTGCTGGCAGCAGCAACAATCAGTGGCAATCCCTACCCATTGGGTGGCTCAAGGCCAGGCATGTCAGAGGCTGGACAGCGGCACCCACAGCATTTCTTGTGCTTACCTGGGGCTGGGGACTCGTTTGCAGACAGCGCTGCTGCAAACGTGCCCAAGCCTTCAGTGAAGCAATGAAATATTTGACTTGAGGGGGAAAAATAAGCTCTCCCGTCCGTCATAACCTCCACACTCAGCTGTCAGTTATCCCCTGATTTTTATGAAATATTTAACCAGAGGGGACAATAAAATCTCCCTGAAAACGATGCACCGCGGTCTCCAGGAGCGGATGCCGGCAGATGTGGGGAGGAATGCTGGCCCTGACTCAGCAGTGGGGTTGCTTTAGAGGTGCAGGCTGCCCTACCTGGGTGTGTTTCCTCAGCAGCCACCTTCCATTCCGTGCTTGAGTTGTTTCAGAAGCTGATTTATGCAAAGTGCAAATACAAAGGGAGCTCGCTCAAAAGTTAAAATAAGTTCTTATCATAAATTTGGGCGTGTGTGGTTTCTTGTAGCTTTAATGCAGCTGGTCTCCTTTCCATATCCAAGTCCCAGTTCCAGCATTTAGTTCTGGCTGAAGGTATTGATTGTGATTTATTGATCTGGCTGAAATTTGTTGATTTCTTTTTTCACAAGAATTATTCCTCCCTCTTAATCCCCAAATTATTGTTACATTTCAGCCATGTTTAGCTTTCCTTAGCTGGTCTTACTATTAGGAGAGCCAAGATTTTATCAAGGTGAGCAGAGTCCTGCCCTGGTCTCAGCCTGCCCTCGGAGAAGGAAAAGGTTGGTCCCTAACAGGACTGGCAAAGGATTGGTCTGCAGTACCCCGTGGTGTCATCTGGTGATGCACCTTGGCTTGCCAACATGAAGCTCTTTCTGGTAAGGTTTCCTGAGCCATGGGGAGAGCCCAAAGGTGATGCCGAGGGCTGAGCCATGGGAAGGAGCTGAGGATGCCGAAGATGTGATGGCACAGCTGTAGGACCTCAACAGGCTGAAAACCAGGAGAAGGAGTGGATGAGCAGAGGTGTTGGGTATAAGCGCATGAACGAAGGAGTGATCACACTTTGTTGCCTGGTTGTGCCATTGGCATCAGTGGAAATGACCCAAACGTGCTGCGGAAGCAGGGCAGGACAAGTAATCGTACCCCAGGTTTTGGAAGCTGTTTAAAGCCAAAACCCTTTTTGTTTTTTTAAATAGAAAAGAATTTGGTCAATGCTTCTTTGTGCTTAGATAGACGTAGTGACAGGGGTTTTCAAGGGAGGAGATGAAAGGGTTTTCCTGTGGTTCCTCCCAGCTGCTATAGCAAAACTCCACATGCTCTCAGGATGTGCTGGGGGACTTTGTGATGCCCTTGCTGCTGCTCCTTTTCCCAGCATTTCATTCCAAAGGGCCTCAAAACATGGATCTGTTCAACCTCACAACACCCAGCGTCTCTCTCACAGGTGCAGAAATGATGCTGAGGGTGGAGGAGGACCCCATGGCAGGAGGGATTTGGGCACCCCAGGCTCCAAACACCCCATCCTGGCTCTAACCCTCCACCAGCACCCCACATTGAAGGAGCCATGAGCTGATGGACATGCAGGCAAATGCCAAGCAGCAATGCCATCCATGGAGGGTTTCCCAAACTCCAGACTCTGGCTGGGAAGGTGACCCTGGTGCTGTGGGAGCCAAGACTGGGTCATGTCACGAGCACTGTCCTTGGTCTGGGTCATTTCTGCAAAGAGTGGAAGTGTCCTGTGTGGTGTGGGCAGGACAAAGGGCCAGCCCAGGCTGTGTGAGACAAAGAGATGTGGCACTGCAGTCACACACAGTCACACAGAGCCAGTCTCTGCATCCCCAATGATTTTTCACATCACTTGTCTCCCTCAGTTCTCACATCTGTGCTGCTATGGTTACCGAGAGCCTGAAAGGTTTTAAATCTCCCTCAGAGCAGCGGAGGATTTCAGGATAATCTTGTTAGGAGATGAGCAATGAATATTTCCAAAGGCCTTTTGCATGGATAGCTCGTTCCCCATGAGCTTATGGCCCCTGACAGCAGAGAAAGCAAAGGGGGGGGGGGACTGTGTGCAGGGAAGGGAAGAGACAGGGAAGGATGAACGCAGCAACTTGTTTTCCACTGCAGCCCTTTGTGCCCAGAGTGATGTCCCTAAATGCTGTATTTTTCAAGGCTGACCAGCTTGCGTCAGGTATTATAAAAAAAATAATTATTTCAGTCTGTGTTTCCCCCAGGGAAAGACTCACAGAGCCTTTATGGGCGCTTGGAGATGGGGACAGCCGTGGATGAGTCCTACAGAAGAACTCTGCATCCTGTGAGATGAGCAGAGGGACACATTGGGATGGCCAGTGGAGCTGGGGTGGCTCGTGGCTTTTGCAGTGCTGCAGGAGGGAGCAGGATCCCTGTGGGATTTCGTAATCCAGGTGCACTGTTGGATCCTGCTACTGAGGGCACGCGCTGCACCCGTGGGGACTGGAGCATATCGGAGGCAAAGCCTCTGCCAGCTCTGTGCCCGTGGGAGAGGGGACCATGACGCCCCAGGGAGGGAGGGAATGAAGGAGGGAGGGAGGCAGCAGGGAGGGAAAAGAGCCCTGAGCAGGGCAGGGAGGGGGGCAGGCAGTGGGAGAACGGATGAGAGGAATCAGCAGTGATGGGCAGGAGCTGGGATGGAGCACAGGTGAGCCAGGGGTGGGTTTGGGGCAGGTGGAGTCACAGCCTGTGAACATCCAGCATTCCCAGGCGTCTCTGGAGCAAAGGGTCCGTCAGGACATGAAGTGCTCATCCTTCCCCAAAGCCAACCCTCTGCAGGGCCAACAGCCACGGAGCACTGGGACACCCTGGGGGAAGGTGAGAGATGGTCCTCAGGGTCCCAGTCAGTGTCAAGGCTTAGGCACAGCCGAAAGCCAAGCTTGGAATGCCAGCCAGTCCCTGCCTGAGCAAAGCCCCGGCAGGTTGGGCAGCCCTTGGCCGGCAGGAGAGGGCAGTTTGGGTCAGAACGATGGAAAATGGCATGTGGGCTGCTGCTTCCCACCGTGTGCTGGCAGGGGAGAACTGGGGGGAAGCTGCAGATGAAGGGACCAGGGAGGCACAGGGACGAGGGCAGAGGAGGGGGCTGGACCCCTGCTCCTGGACAAAGCCAACAGCACTTAATACAGGAGAAACCCTGGGCTCTGCTCCCCTCACACTGCTGATTGCAAGCTGGAATGTGGGACACTGTGGAGCCTCTTCTGTCCCTGAACCAGCCCACAGAGCTCCTCTGATGGAGGGGTGTGAGTGGAGTTCTGCCAAAAAAGGCCCCAGTGTCCTGACAAGGTTTGCAGCATCTTTAGAAAACATACATTTGTATTTCACTCTCAAGCTTATGTTTGGTGTCTGACAGTGACTGTGTGAGGGGGAAGCCAAAAAAGCACAACAGACCCTTTCCACTGCCCGAGTGCTGCCCAGCTCCACTGCCAGGCATGGCTCTGCTGCAAGACACTTTGCACACTGCAGGAACAGCCTGTGCTGTGTCTGGACGTGGTTTTGGGGAGCTCACATCTCAGTGCTCGGCTGTCATGGTTCAGAGGGAGCGGTGGCTCCAACGTTCCCAGGCACAGTGCAGGAGCAGCTGGCGCTGGGCACTGCTCCAGCCCTGGACACGATGCCCCAGATCAGCACCACGGGTCACACACGGGGTAAATGGGAGCCTTGGGCCTTGCCCATTGCTCACAGGCAGTGAAGCATCATTATAAATGTGGTGGTGAGCAGTTTGCAGCAGGGTGACACATTCCCATGACTCTGGGCCAGCTTCTGGAAGCTGTTGGAGCTGATACAGCGCTGACTCCTGCGATGGGGTGCCCGCTGCCCCAGCACCCTGTGCCTTTGCACCCCATAGCAGGACACAGTGGCAGTGAGGGCAGCCTGTGCCTGCAGGATGCTCCCACCCCACACCACCTGCTTGTGCCCCTGCCTCCTGTTTCTGCCCATGGATAAATTCATGGTGGATGTGAGAGCGGCTGCATTTCCAACAGGGTTTTCTGGTGTTCCAGCTGAGGTTGGTGAGAAGGAAGTGGGCAGTAATGAGGAACCCCAGTGACATCATCGGCACTGCCTGGTGTGTCCCCAGCTGCTGCCCATCACCACAGGCAGTGGGGAGTGTGACTCATTGCTTCTCCCACACGGAATGAGCCCTGGGTGGGAGACCAGTCGAAAGCAGGAGAGGGGAAGAGAGTGCTGGCAGTGAGCTGCCTGTCTACTCCCACTGCCTGTACCAGGGTCAGGGAGGTAGGTCCTCACCCCGGTGTGGGGACACCCAGCTGCACCAGAGAGGGTTAAACCTGCCTCTCTCGGAGATTAAATCCAAATGGCCTTTGATTTAGCGACAGGTGAGAGGAGAAACCTGAACCGCTGTGGCTTCCGCCCCCACTGTAAAGGGGAGCTGCAGCCCTCCCGGATGCATAGATGGATCAGCCATACGTGGTGCTTTGTGCCTGTCTGGAACAGCCTGTCACCATATGGATCCTGTTCCTGGAGCTGGTGGGGCCACCATGGGGAACGTGCCACTCCAAGGGGGCTCAGCCCTGTTTTGGGGCCATATGGAGGTGACAGGCCCTGGAGAGGGTCACACCCACCCTGGCTCCTGCCCTGCTGCCTGGTGACCCCCAGTGCCAGATGGGGGTAGAGGCAGGAGTTGGTGAGGGCTGGGTGTCAGTGGGGAGAGAGGAGGAGAGTGGTGCTGGATTTGGGATCCTCCAGTGC